AGGTGTCCACATGTCTGGTCTGGTCTGTTTACACATGAGGTGTCCACATATCAGGTATGTTTGTACATGAGGTGTCCACATGTCTGGTCTGTTTGTACATGAGGTGTCCACATGTCTGGTCTGTTTATGCAGGTGTCCACATGTCTGGTATGCTTGTACATGAGGTGTCCACATGTCTGGTCTGTTTGTACATGAGGTGTCCACATGTCTGGTCTGTTTGTGCAGGTGTCCACATGTCTGGTCTGTTTGTACATGAGGTGTCCACATGTCTGGTCTGTTTGTACATGAGGTGTCCACATGTCTGGTCTGGTCTGTTTACACATGAGGTGTCCACATATCAGGTATGTTTGTACATGAGGTGTTCACATGTCAGGTATGTTTGTACTTGAGGTTTCCACATGTCTGGTATGTTTGTACATGAGGTGTCCAAATGTTTGATCTGTTTGTACATGTGTCCACATGTCAGGTATGTTTGTACTTGAGGTATCCACATGTCAGGTATGTTTGTACACGAGGTGTCCAAATGTCTGTTCTGTTTGTACTTGAGGTGTCCACATGTCTGGTCTGTTCGTCTGTTATTAAATATGAAAGCATGGTTGCTGTGACATGATTGATTATTTGAGTAAGCACAGAGGCGAAAGTAGCAGGCATGATATAAGAAGATGACCACCACCACCATGACCATATCATGCATCAAGTACAGATCTGTGGTTGTTGTAAAGACGAGACATTCTTTGACTGACTGGACTCATAGTTGTTTGATGTGATAATGATGAGTAAGTAGATGATGATAAACTGCTGGGTCTGTTTGGACGTATTGACATAGCTCTGTAAAGTAATCAAATAAACCATATCCTAGAGGTCAGAGTTCAAGGGTCAAATCTGTGACATACATTTACCCATGGCCAAATTAAAACATTTCATATTCCTATAAAGTTAGAGCTTTCAGCTCAGATTGCAGCAAGTCATGTTGAGAAAGTGCAATGTATCATGACAAATATGACCCCCTTCTTGCCCTACAATGCGAGTACCTCGCTGTCATCCATCGGATCAAATGTAACTAACTTGACATGTTAGGTTATAAGGAAAAGCTGCTGGGTCAGCTATTGGCCAAAGATCAAAAGAGAGTTTCACAGAACTGATGACTGTTATCCTTTAAGAGAGCAACAGGATTAAAAAGTGTTAAAAATGATTTGTGATTCAGACACAAAAAATTACTCGGCATGCTACGATAACAACCTATACATTTTCTGAAAGCTTAGATATAGATGAACACAGTAATGCATATGCTGTTCCAATGTTGCCTGAGGGCCAATTTTAATATAGTTTTGACTATTTAAAACATAATTTGTTAACACTTTCTGTTAGGTGAATGACCTGTGAATTGCACATGACTTTGAAAGCATTGTAGGCTAGAAGATCTCACCATGGTTTCCTTTAAATGACTTTATTTTCTAGCTATAACGAAATAACTACAGACATGCTACCAGGGACGTATTATCACATTATTAATACAATTCACCCCTGCTGCTACCTTAATGAAATAATAGAGAAGTTACGAACCGACTAGGTGACGGTCCATCACTCTGAGTGACAGCCGAATTCTTGGCTTCTGATGCAAACTGGTAAACAATAAGAAGACAGTCACGACACAACTGGACGATCCGTCGACAACAGCTCATCTCAGAAGATGATATCACGTCAGTACTTTTACTGAAGATAGTCTCCCAGGAGTTTCTATCAAGAAAGTATACAAATTTTCAGCTAAACTATAAAAACAATAATAATTTGGTTTAGTGCTTTGGTCAATTTGTTTTTTAAAATTGAAATGTGTTCAATTATCATAACAAATTTTGCTTTTATTTGGATTTTTCATCAAAATTTAATTAAATACGTAGCGACAATTGACTTTTTTCATAAGACATGACTATCTGGATAGAAGGAATAAATATTCATAAATTTTAACCTGCTTCAACAAATATTTATTCATAATTTCATAATAATGCCAAAGTCAACTTTTTTTCATTCGTGTTCACAAATTTTAATCAAGACCGTTCACTAATGGGAAATTACATGTGCATGTCCAAAATAAACAAATGTGGAGAATTCATAATTAGACAGTGATAATTACCCTGAGGTTGAAAAACAATTCCATAACCCTTGACCATGGCTCCACAGCAAACGATTAAATACACGGTTGAAAATACGATAAAGTCGTAATCCATCCACATCACTGGATCTCCATGTACGTTGTAGTACAGCTCTAACATTGGATCGGACGATGTCGACCACTTTTCTTCTTTTTATTGAATCAAGTTTTACCAGCCAGTAAGATGCAATTCTTGGCTTGTGAAACTTCCAGTTGTCTTGTAACTATGAAAATGAGGAATAAAAATTAGATTCGTTTTATGATTTCAAAATCAGATTGGGTGTCACTTTTATCACCATCCAAAACATTTCATTTCCATGTTATGGGTTTATACTATGTCTATTTCCGTAAATGCATTTGTTACCTGTTGTAAAATTAATTCAGCTTCTTCATCAGTTTTTCCTGGAAATTTAATTCTCATATCGCTGAGAGCAATTAAGGTTCTCTTTGTCATCTCTTCTTCTCTCTCTTTCACGGCTGCAGTAATAAAAGCCTCATCCTAAAAATAAATACAAGAAACATTTCACCATACATGAGATACTCCATACAATCTAGTTTAACAATGATTGAACTAAATTTTGACAACTTATGTCCCTGTAGTTGAATATTAAACCATTTTGAATTTGATCTGAAAAAACATCTGGTCCCAATATAAATAAATATGTTCATTGCATGTACAAAGATGGACAATAGTGTCCATTTATAACCAAGATTGGGGTTCAGGAATGGCTGGATTGTGATGAATTTTAAGCATAAATAGAATCTTGAAATTAACAGATGTGCGCATATATCCCAAAATGTATGAAGTTGAATGTGATCGACACAGGCATGCTCAAGATAAACTAACATACACAACATGACGATTGTAATAGCTCCACTGTTTCTGACGAGCACAGTCATGATGAAGTCAATAAACATAATAGTAGAGAAACAAATAACCATGTCTTTGTTTACATTTTATTTAATAGTTTTGGATTCATCATTTCGATGTATCTGAATTAGTATCTAAAACTTATCTAATCTAATAGAGGTGCAACCAAGATACATACACCAAATATCAAATCATTGAGCTAGCAAGAAGTCAAATAGCATTTTGACCAAAAATGACAAAAACATTTGTTGAAATTACAAAATTTATGATATCATCACAAAATATATTAAAATCAAATTGAGGTCCACCCAAAATACACATATACCAAGTATAAAAGCAATTGGAGTAGTGGCCAGCCAGCATTTTCACCCAAAATGACAAAAATATTCACTTAAATTGAAGAATTCAAAAGATTTTTAGAAAATGTTCAAATCTAATAGAGATCCACCCAAGGTACATGTACATATATATACCAAGTATCAAACTAATCTGAGTAAAGGTTTTTGAGAAGAAGTTGATAAGAACATTTTAAACAAAAATTACAAATATATTCGTTAAAAATATCACCACAAAATGATCAAATCTTTTAGAGGTCCACCCAAGGAGCATATGTAACAAGTAAAAAAGTAAATAGAGTTAGCTGTTTTCAAGTAGAAGTTGTTTAAGGTAGAAGCCTACTCATAAATGCAAATACCCAAAATATATTCATTTGGCAATAAATCATACTCCCAGGCAATATTATTGATTTAAAGAAAAGTGGGGTCACCAGCCTAAGTTTCGAGAAAATGATGATTCAATTTCAGTGGATAGTATCCATTTTGTCAGTATTATAACGCTTTTATCGTAGGCTCTTATGGCAGAGATATTATCACATATTTCAAATTATATGGTTAAATAGGCTGAAAAATCATGGGGTACTTTTTGTTGTCCTGAATTATTTAAAAAATTCAGGTTTTAAAAAAGTGTCAAGAAATGTAATTCTTCCTTGTATTCTATGGAATTGTTCTAAGTTTTTTCAATATAGGTTACCGTAACACACGCAAGAATGCTATTACATGGTGCCATGGGGCAAAAGTCATGTGATTTATTATTAAATTCTCAAATATTTTGAATAGGCTTAATAGACAAGCAGCCTGTCGGCTGAGATAGCTCCGCTGTTAGCAATGCACATGGCAATTAAAGAACAGAAGATATCATTAGAAAATGAACAAATCTGAGAGAGGTTCACATGTAGTACCTACATTGTATATGTATAATATATCAAAGCAATTGGACTTGCGGTTTTTAACAAGAAGTTGAAAATATCACTTTTTACCAAAAATGACAAAAATATTCACCAAAATTAGAGAATTGAAGATATCATCATGAAATGAACAAATCTGAGAGGGGTCTACCCAAGGTACATATACACCAAGTATCAAAGCATTCACGCTTGTAGTCGAAAAAGTAAAACATTGACACAGACGACGACGGACAATCACTCATATGATAAGCTCCACTCGACAATGTCGACAGCGGAGCTAAAAAGATGATGTGGGACAATGACAACGACAATCACATATACCAACAGCTCCAACTGCCTGACAACAGAACTAAAAGAATTCCATAATTTCAGTATTAAAAAGTTCATTTTCACCCAAACTTATTCAGAACAGACTTTTTATCAAAGTAGCCAATCACAGAATGTATAACGTACCACAACAGGATTGAGAGATCCAACAGATGTTATGTGATTTGTGGATGACAACGGCCTGGTAAGTGACCTTGATCTTGGACCTGAATAAGGCCTTGTTGATGGTCTCTGTGCAGAGAGTGGTCGTGTATGTCTACTCATAGCTCCATGTGAGCGAGACGGTGTTCTGCCATTACGCAAATCATCAACAGGTGACTCTGGTGGTGTTAGTTCAGACATTTCATTGTTCATGGAATCTGCCGCACTTGGCATGGAAGAGAGAGGCTTGGGTCCCCGTGGTACTAATTTGCCGTCTCGGTAGTCTGTGCCGTCCAGCTCACATTGCTGTAACATATCCAGGATTTCATCCTCCTGTCAAAGATCAGTAAAGGTCATGTTGTCATATGTCCATATTAGGGTATTACTGCTTTCTATTATATAGAATATGCATCATTTGGTGATGGTACTGTTGACCAAGCATTACTGTAAACACATCATTTTGCATTTATTTTTTACATGTCAGTGAAAATGACAGTTATTATGATTAATATTGGCCGTTGTCTAAAGTTGACATCCTATATACATTCTATGTAGTATTTGCTGTATTAGTAACACATGTGCTACATAAAGTAAAAGTGTGCCTATGGTCAAAATAACTATTTTAATGATTGTGTATACAGCCCAATACAATGTTTGATTTATCTGCACTTCTATTGGAGATGCGCCTTTAATAATGCAAATTAGGTATGCATTATTGACAAATCAAACTATGATTAGACAACACACAATTAGTTTGCACTTGTTTGTTTGTGAACACATGTGAATATTGAATTGTTCTACAGTATTGGATGTACTCAGATGTGTTCAATAATGATAAACTCCCCACAAGAAGTAAGATACCATACTCACCCGGAGTTGACGAAAAGCTCTTGTAACTTCTTTCTGCAATGAAGCCGCTCTACCAGAGAGAAACAGCTGAAAAGCGTCTGCTAATAACCCAGTATATCGCTCAATAGTAAATTTATCTGTGGGTGGAAAAACTCGTCGAAATCTTCCCATATTGCGATTTTCGTACTCCTCACGAGCATTCTCTCGTCTTACTTGCGCAAGCCTCTCTTTCAATTCATCTCGCCGTTTTTCTACTATCACTCTTTTCTTATCAAGGTCCTGTTTAAACATGAGATGACAGACCAAGAGAAAAGGTCATTTACTAGAAGTGTCTTTTGGATTATTGAAGCCAAACTAGGGAGTTTTAGTATAAAAGTGACCACCTATATGTTCCTACCAGAACAGTTCAATCACATTATTATTATAAACAAATTAGCTATTGTACTTGGAATAATACTGACCATATTTTAAATATTTAGGTTACACAATTCATTTTGTATGTCTCTTTCAACCTCTCATCTACAAATATGATACTTGAAATTTCATATTAATTTGGGCTGATTAAACCTCACATCGTTTGCATGGAACCAATACAAAAAATAATAAAGTGTGATTATTGTTACAACAACTTACTGTCAACTCTGTTTCTGATCGCCGTGTTGGCCTTAGCAACCGTTTTTGTGATTCTAGTTTCTGTGCAGCCAATCCTCTCCGTCTATCTGATGGTTTGATATTGAGTAACCGTAACGTGTCTTCCAACAAACCGCCTTTGATCTCTTGGTCTATCTTCTGATCCGTACCAAAACTTGGAGATCGATTGATCTGTTAAATACAGTGTTGGTATCACATGGCAATGTTATCACATGACCAGGGATTATTTTTGCAGATAACGGAAAAAAAACAACAAATTCAAATCATAAAACCATGACTTGATATCCACAAATCATACTTGAAAAGCTGATGTTTTACAATATCTCTGTATACCACTTAATGTTTATACTTGCCTCTAGCAGCCATGGTTTAAGTTTACGATCCAACAATATATCAAACCCTAATATTTCAAAACAGACACTGTCACTGCCGGGAGGCTGACCAGGACGACACATACGATATGCATGAAGTACATGTGGTTCTGCTACAACCATCGTTTTTATAATAACATCCTGTCAGCAATAAGGAATAAATGGTGTGAAAAGTTAATCTATTCATTGTCAAATTTGATAAAATTACAGTAAAAACAAACAAGATTATCCATGAGATTGCTATGGATGTAGATTACAACAGCTGATTACCTACTTGGCTTCAAAATATTTCAGTTGACTTTGTCTACAGTCCTGACATAGAAATAATAATATATCTAGACTGTAGACAAAGTCTGCAGGTAATGGACAATATTTTAGATAATCAGTTATTTTAATCATAAAACATCCAGAGCAATCTTGGTGGTTTTGACTGTAATGGTTTGTTCACACAACCTTGGAATGAGACATTCTAGTGCAATTTTACTTCAAACTAAATCTCAAAAACTAACTCTTCAAAGCACGGTTTGTCAAAGAATTGGTGACAACACCTTTTTAAATAATAACAAAAATTTCCAGGCAGAGAATAAAATAAGATAAATTTACTCCTCACAGCAATACTTTTCCAAAGTGCTGCTACATCAAAGTCATTCTTTCTCAGAAAGTCATTCAGAAATTTGATGGATCTTTTGCTTCCGCTGTCGACATCATCTGTTTTTTCAAAATTGTCACTCTTCTTATTGACTGAGTAGTTGGTTAAATGCATGAAAAGTTGGTCCTGAAAATGAACAATTATAGAGTTATTGTAAGAATATTGCCCTCTACAGTTCAGTTTTCAGATTACCGGTTTCAGAACAAATCTCAGTCTACCTGAGCTATTTGAACTTAAAAAACAAATGCATGTTAATATGTGTGAAATGATGTAGATATGAAACAGCATCCTTTGATACAAAATGTACGTCAGCCGGTCATTTTAAATTTGATCTGAAGAACAAAATGACTTTCATCAGGGTCTCATAATGACAATGTCCAGGATCTGGTTTTGGAATGTCAGAAATGGTTGATTTTGATGAATTTTTAACAATTAGCCATCTACAATCAAAATAATACATGTATATGTGTGTGATATTCAAACTTGATATATACATCGTATTTCATATCAGTCAAGGTACATGTATGTCAGAGATATCATGGCTCCAGAACAGCATTCAGTAAAACAAAATACAGCCACCAGTTGACCATTAAAATCTTATGGATTTATGCTATGAGTTTTTAATATTCTTTTTATTATTGGTTGTTATTTTTTCAGTTTCTTTAAGTATTATTACATACATTTTATTTTGTATTATTTTAACTATTGCCCCATGCTTTCATGATTAACAACACTTTTAAAAAACTGTCAGCAAATGAATAATAAAATATAATTAAGTACAAAAATGGACACCATTCGGCCATCTTGAATCAGATTGTGAAATGAATAGATGTGCATATATATCCCAAGATGTATGATGTATGTGTGAAGTTTGAAAGTGATTGGGCCAGACACAACATCAAAACAGTTGATGAAACAAATGACAATGTAACATATTTGCTCAATTATAGATGCTCTTTCAGTAGAGCTGATACAATTGCTTAGTTGATAAGATAAGTCTGTAGTCTGAATACTGCACTGCAGTGTTGTCTAAAGCAATGCAGTAATATATAATGAATATATTCAATTATGAATCTACTTAAATCCACATTTACATTGACTCTTTAATTAATACACTGAGGTGGAAGATATTCACTAGGTTTACATCCATGTTTACATTGACTCTTTAATTAATACACTGAGGTGGAAGATATTCACTAGGTTTACACAGCAGCATTTTATCGGATTGAATCTCCAACTTATTAAATTATCTCGTGTACATTTATCTGCAGTGGGTAAACTCAGTTCTCATTAAACTCAGTTCGTTGAGAGTCGAACAGAAAAGCTCCCTCAATCACTTGATAACCAATATATTCTCAATATCCAGGAATTTGTTTTGAATCTAGATGGCAACACCTTCCGAATACCGTCCCGATTCTTGGATTTATTGTCACGTTTTTTTGTTTTTAAGCTTAGACATGTCACTATTTGCTTTTCTTATCTGTTTTTTGTGTACATTGTATTTATTATCATCCATTCTAATGGATATTACTGATTAAATAAATAAACTCAGTGAGCTTGTCATTCAAGAATACGATTGCGAGTGATGATTTTGCTGTCTGGTACATATTCTTGTTTCTGTACACACATATGTTAGGGCGACAG